TGGTGCATGGAGGTAGTGTATCTAGTTAGCAAAGCAAAACGTATCTGAACAACAACGCAATAAGAAGCTAGGGAAAGTCATAAATGTTTTAGGAACATATACAATATACATACATATTATTTCAATAATACAAAGTAAGTACATACATTCAAACATACGTCCTACATACACACGCGCATAAGAACATCAAGAGATGGATTTGTGGCAACAATTGGTTTGTGTACTGTACATAAAGGTTTCCATCCGATTTGGTGACGGTGTTGCCGACTTTGACGTTTATATGTTAACCTATATTTACATAGAAACATAATTCTGTTTCACCACAGTTTGCGATCTGTCTTCATAGAGTAGTGTATATATATCTCATTGCCATCTTCTTAAGGCTATTTCTGCAAATGTTTTAATTCAAAAATTTAATTTCATTTCGATGTTTTTTTTACACATTGATAATTTCAAAATACGAACAGTTGAAAAAACTGAAATGCAAAAGAATATCTATCATATATTTGTTTCATTCAAAATTCTCAAAACAGCCGGTCTCAATGAGTTTCTGCCGACGAATGTTCTTAGACAAAAGGTACGTAACAATACAAAAATGATGATGATATAAATATGACGATGATATAAACATGATATCAATGATGCCAAACATGACAATGATAATATACACGATAATGGCAGTTAAACCAGTTAAAAACTAAAAAAAAAACACCATGTAACACACAGAGCTCAAGATATTCCCATCTGTTTTGGGATGAAATAGATTAATTAATTTAATTACCACTGCACAATTCACCTTGAATGTGATGAGGTTTATGGAGAAAATGATTGCAGTATTTTAATTTATACACTACTGCTACTACATATACTACATATACATACTGCTGTATGTGTAAGTGAAAGTAAAATGATGCGATAGGGTTGTTGGAGTTTCTTGTTTGATTCACTTGAATGAAACTGTGTTAGTCTAACTGCGGTCTATCTAGGATAAACTTTCAAGTGTTTTATATTAAGGGAATAAAGAATTTAAAGAAAGGTTGCATGCATGCTGTTTATTAGTTGGGCTGGAAAGAAGAAAATGTTTATTATCTTTTTTCTAATTTTTGTATTTAAAATAATCTGCCATTCGTTCACTATGACGCTTCTCACAGATTGCTGGCTTCATGCTAACTTCATTCTGCTGCTTTTAGATCATATAATTTAAAAAAGTTGAAATGACTTTTGCACAAGTTGTTGGACGGGGTTTTTAAGATTAATCTTCTCTAGCTTTCCAGGTTTGCTTTACGTTGTTAACGACGTCTGCCTTCCAGGTTTATATAATGATCTGTTACATAAATTTCAATTTGAAAACTCTATTCAAATTAATTTCCAACTAAAAAATCAAATTTTTGAGACTTTCGGAAATAGGCGAAAAAATGTTTGAAAGTTATTTCGAAAATGCCAGGTACGCAAAGAAGCTGGGCCAAAGAAGAATTAAATGCAGATAGTACGCTTGATAGATATTCTACGTATGAATGTACGTGTATGTGTACGTTCGCACGTATTCACGTATTTACGTCTGTGTGTGTGTGTGCATGAGTGTGCATAAGTGTGCATGTATGTTTGTACGTATGTGTGTATATCTGTGTGTAGAGCCGTTAAACGCTCACACAAGTGTCTTTCATCCATACTTTATTTATTTATCTATTTAATTAACTTGCCTCAGGCCACATGCTTCCGAGCAAACAATTCATAAATCAAGGCAACGGCTTTACTGCACGTTGTTATTCATATCATTTTACGACACTTTACAAAAACTTTTCATTCCTGGAATTATGGAAAGTAACAAATTCAAATATTATCAATAATTTTTCGTAATTTGCATCAGCAAAAAATGAATGTGCTAGTGCATATGTGTGTTAGTGCATGACTGACACATGTAGCCTAATCACACAGGCCCGTTCACAATACAATACGGTCTATCATACGAACATGTAAACACAAATTAGAAATTTTCCTCAAACATGACAAATGATCTGTTTGATAAGATTGATGCAGACTGCCAAGCAGCTTGTCGTGCATCTCATTCCATCATCTTCATTATCTTAAATTCGAACATTTATTCAAAGACACGTTTCCTGTTCTTCCTTCCTCTTTTCCTTCTTCATTGTTTATCGTTATCCTCTTGAAAACCTTTTAAGAATAAGCTTGAGATAGCAAACAAAACTATTTAAACATGCAAGAAGTGTTCACATTTGGAATTGATAAAGTGGAGTTATTATATTGAGAAGATACACACGTGCATGTATACGACATTGTACATTAGCGATGAAATGGATAGATGTAACAAAATTTTTATGTTCGGTTTTAATACAGTCGCATACAACCATTTGTGAAGGCATTTGTGCCTATGTGTGGTTCTGCATCATTTCACAATGAAACTTTAAATTCGCATCTGTTAAAAATTCTAAATTCTAAATTAAATACTCGATGAACTTTAACAGTTATAACTTCTATACACTTCACTTCAGTGCAGTTTTTAAATTGTGTTTTTGATTATTTTTTTAATGCACAGCGTCCATTTCGGGGAGACGCTGTAATTCAGTTAAGTGCATGCATTCGATGTTGTTATTTATCGGCAACAAAGCACTTAGCCGCATGTACGAATATTGAAATGACGAGTTTTTATTTAATTAGTCTCGGAAATATTTTGTAAAATAAAAATGGAAATAATTCGATGAGCAAATATTTCCATTTCAAATAACATGAATGAATGTGAAGACGTACAAAACGAACGACTGAAGCACTTCCCTCTACCTGTCTTTCAATTATATTTTATTTCATTCATACTACGTAACTGGAAAACCCTGGAAATAATACGGATTCCGCTGAATTAGGGAATTGTATTGATGTGTCGTGATTAAAATGTTGAACTGTTGTGATGGACAGGTGCACTGTTGAGATACTTCAAGCATTACTCCATAGACAGTGCAGAGACTCAATGACAATATGAATACATCACTTGCGTTCCTAATTTAAACCTTTGCATTATTTTCCATGTGAATTCCATTATATAGAAATAAACACGCACATATACGAGCGTACGAGCAAACACACACACACACACACATACAAAAACATACAAACACACACACATGCATAAGTTGAATACAGACTTCTAGACGATTATAACACGGATAGTTAGTTTTGGAGGTAGCATCAATCTGAAGGAGGCATACTTTGCCTAATGTTCATATCAAGATTCTGCGGAAAGAATTTTCATTCAAGTTTTGTAGTGTTTATATCACGTCTTAAATCATTATTTTTTATTGAAAAGTTTAAATGCTTTAATATGTCAATTTAGTAAATTTGTTGTGATTGTTAAAAATTTTATTACTATTTTCAATATATTGAGTCTCTAATGGATACATTAAATTTTATTTAAATATTCATATATCGAAAAACGAAACTTTTACTTTTAACATAATAACTTTTGAGTGTTCGATTATTCAAATTTTGTATTTTACTGGTTTAACAATCGTTTGGTCTGTGCAGTGACTAACTGGAAACAATAGGCAAGGTTTATAAACGTTTATGATCTTCTATAACGCATTCTTTAGTTTCGGAATTTTTTATATTATACTTTGGCAAGAGGCATTGCTCGGGTTGGTATGAGTAATAAAGTAAGTTTTAAAATAAAACCAATTTTTGTGCCAATACGTTCAAGAAGCACGCCATCCTAACAGGTCTAAAACTACAATCGTGTTAAACGCATTCATAGATTTCCATTTTAATTTATTTACCAAAAAAACTTTATATTACTTTTCATTTATGTGAAGGATGATAGAAATAAATTGTTGTCAGATTTCTAATCATTATTTTGTTGCTCAACGTTTTGCTATAACATTTCAGCACATAACAATTTTTATTCAACACGCGTCAGTCATTTATTCAATAAATAAATGTTCAATCATTGTCATCACTTTTGTATTATTTTCTCTGCATCATCATTAATCACAAATGTTATATTTATAAACGATATATATATATATATATATATATATATATATATCCGTTATATATACGTTATACAGTGTTGTGTTAACTACTTAAAAAATGTAGTTAACTACTATAGTTAACTACTTTGAAAAAATCTAGTTAGTAACTACTTTTCAACTACTATGCACAACAGTAGTTAGTAACTACTCTTTAACTACCACATAGTAGTTAACTACTTTCCAAACATTGCCATTTAAAAAGAAACTGGTTGTCTTAACCTTGTATGCCCCACAGACAACTACATAATGCAATAGGTGTATATAATATGTATGTATATTATGTAAAATGTCTATTATATGTGTCCATATACAATATGTTATATATATAAATATATATGATATATTGTATATATGTTTTATATATGTTTTGCTCATTGTTGTATACAACCATTTGTTATCCAGCATGTGATATGATTAGTCATGCATAGCAAATGCATATTAGATGACCATGTCTGTTTTCAACAGTAACACAACAATGCATGCACACAAATAGGGGCGATCAAATATTAGCTTGTTATTATAAGTAGTTATGTAAAATAGTTAACTACTGTAGTTATTAACTACTAAAAAAATAGTTAACTACTAGTTAATAACTACTTTGAAAAAAATAGTTATTAACTACAGCTTAACTACTAGCAAGTAGTTATTAACTAGTAGTTAACTATTTGTAGTTAATAACTACACACCACTGACGTTATATATATATATATATATATATATATATATATATATATGTATGTATATATGTTATATATACATGAATAATGAGCAGCAAGATGAAACAATAGTTAAGGTCGGGGTCTTGCTGATGAAATGATTGAATTGGAATGCAGGGAGATCTCCGCCACCTACCACACTTGCATGTGACGTGTGTTGTTGATACTTTGATACAATTAATTAGGAAAAATTAATAAAAATTGAATCGATATTAATGATATATTATTTTTTATTATTTGCCAGATAATGGATATAGTTTTCATAACGGACGTACCTCTGCTCTCAACGAGATATTCCCTCGAGCAAAGATCGCAAGATGGAACAACAGCAGCAGACAACAACTTTCCATTCACACAACCACTTCCACAAAAGATACTTTCTGGTTTCAGCGAACATTTATACAACGCTGATCAGCAGCAGGAACTACAACAAACTGGAGATGAATGCAACTTTTTAAACTTCATCTGGGCTTGCGCGTTGATGGTCCTATGTTATTTGGGTTACCTGGGCAATGTCCTCAGCTTCCTGGCTCTCAACAGAGATCGTCGTAACTCTGCAACGATGCTTTTGCAAGCTCTATCAATTAGTGACATCGTGTTACTAATATCGGTGAACATCACCGACGCAGTTCCTTATTATTGTGACTACATCGGTTCGTGTGTCAATCCATGGAAATCATGGCCTCCTATAAGGTATGTTTGGATTCTTACTCCAATTGGGCATATGTGCAGCATCTGGCTGGTAGTTCTTGTGGCTGCAAATCGTTATTGGGCTGTATGCAAACCTCATTCGGCCTCTCAAACCTGGTCCAACAAGAGAACATTCAGTTATATTGTTGTTGTCTTCAGTATTGCATTTATTTTCAATGTACCGAGATTTTTCGAATACAAAATAGTCGAAGTAAAAGAAGAAAAACTGTTGAATGCCTCAATAAATCCAAGCTATCTAAAACCACTGGTCACATATAGTCATGATAATACAACCCCACCTTACAACAAAGGAGACAATTTTGCAGTTGTAAACGTTACAATTCCTAGCTCCAGTGATACAAATTTATATAAAAATGACCAGGGTAAGTACAACATTTTAAACAATGGAATTTTCATTCCTCATTCATACAACAATGAATCCAGTAAGAGTAACAGAACATACAAGAGACAAGCAACTTACGGCCATAAAGAACAAACCACATCCTTTGGCGAGAGTACACTCTATAAAGTTGGCTACAAAGTATTTCTGGTCAACACATTTCTAGTTATTATACCAATACCAATGCTGTTTGTAACGAGCCTCTGGATAATTCGGTCGTTGAAAAAATCAGTCGAAAGAAGCAGGTCTTATCTCGCTCCGCCAAACAAATCTCAATCGTTTTCTTCGAAAAGTGGAGTTCCTCTCGATGAAAACAACAAAAACCAAGACGTGAAAACTTACGAGGATAAACAAATTAATAATAATGCTGACTCTGTCAAAAGTTTGAGTGCAAAAAATAAAAAGCCGTTAACTAGAAGCATTCGTGTCAAAGAAGAAAAGGGCGTCAGTAAAAACAGATTTGGTAGTAGTATGAAAAAAGTGTCGGCATCCAAAGAAATAACATTTTTACTGGTGACCGTAATATTAGTAGCAGTTGCATGTCAAACTCCTCTGGCTCTTTTCCATTTCGTCAGGTTATTAAAAAAATTTGTTTCAAATTAAAAATAATAGTTTATTATAAACAAAATATATTGAACACTCGTGATTTATTTCAACAAAATGATATGTATGTAGCCTATATAAAACAAGTTAGTTAGTTACCAAAACTTTAAGATCCTGCTTTTTATTTTTGATAAATTCTCATAAATTTAATAATTTTTAAAATTATTACAAAAATTTCAGATATGCATATTCGTACGGATGCAGAGACCTAGTATATTATTTGGAGTCTGCCAGCAAATTCCTGGTCAACCTCAACAGTTGCATCAATTTTGTACTCTACTGTGTTCTCAGTCCTAAATTTCGAGGTCTTCTCAAGTCACTGATCAAATGTCAAAGCCCAGAAAATCAAAAACAGTCGCGTCCTTTATTAAATCAAGAACGTTCTTTTAAATTGGAGAAAAAGTCAAATAGGACTAGTATCAGCGCTAAACGTGACGAAGATGAAAAGATAATAAAGTTGTCGGATAAAGAAAGTGACAAAGAAGATAATGATGATGAAACAAAAGCTCTTGTAGCTGTTGTTGTTGCCGAAACGCCAATATTGACCAAAATAGAAACTATTGCCACAGACGAGCCAGCCACAGAAACGGAAATGGTAGCGCTGTTGGACAACGAAAATGTTGAAACCACGATAGAAAAGAGAGTTGAAATTAATGATTAAGAGCTGTTTCAGAAGTTTTTAAATGTGTTCTAATATTCTCACAACTTTGTATGTGTTGTAAACAGTTATTATCAGCTTTGAAAAAAAATTATTTTTAAATCTATTTATCATTATTTGAAACTGAATATTAACTGTCAAAACTATTTTCAATTGCAATTAACTTGTTGGAAAATCCTAATGTTACTTTCATCAAAAATTTTGGACATAAACCAAAATTTTCTAGGTATGATATAACAGTCGAATCAAATGATAATAATTTAACGAAAAATAAAAACATTGGCATATATTCAAGTAATGATTGCATTGATTCGTTGTTGGTAACATACATTATGTATAAGACCCATTTGACTCAATTTGAAAAATTATTCTGAGAACAAATGAAAAAAAAATAAA